TAACACAGTTATGTATGTAAGTATATTGGGTTCTGAGGTAAAATGTGTTTTCAAAATAGTTTGAAAAACATTCAAATGATTATAGTCTCATTCTTGGAGATATTCAGTGTGACTGTGCATTTGAAGAGGATTTACTTTGAACAAAAAGATATAAAGTTGTAGTTAAGGGCAAGATTCTGGAGTCAAAGTGTCTGGTTCAAATCCTAACTGCCACTTATTAATTGTGTAACCTTGGACAAGTTACTTAGCCTCTCAATTCTTCATCTGTTAAATGGGAATGCTAATGATATCTACTGTACGGGGTTATTATGAGAATTAAATGAGTTGTTATTTATAAAGTGCTTAGAGTAATACCTAGTACATAGTATAAGCTTTAGCTATTATTATGCTGCCTCTAAGCAAAAATAAGACCTTGAATATGTGGCATAACCTCTCTGGAATTCAATTTTGTCGGTAAGTAATCTCTACAGGCCCTGCTTGCTCTAACGTTCCTAGAAGCGGTGGACAGGTTCCTAGGACAGACCTTAAGGAAAGAAATAGCCAAACGCAAATCATCTGTCCTGTTCAACTGATACTTTTGAGGTCTCAGCCAAGCAGCCTGTTCCAATGAAACATCCTGTAAGCCAACTTGTTATTATCTCTCGAAATTGCATGCAAAGGTGAATTCAGGATAGTGAGAGATTGACCAAATCAAGGAAAATGCTCTTTTTTTCCATTCATCAGACTCTTAATGACTAGCATTGGCTTCCTGTCTCTCCCATTGTCACGTATTTTATTCCATATACTGGGATAACCGCAGCTGGGGACGAACAGGAAATCTGTCTCCATGTTTGTTTTTAGGTTTTTATTGCCAGTGTTCCTGATTGTGGAATATAGTGTGAGGCTGCCTCACAGTTGGCCCAGTGTTTGTCACACGTCGCCTTCCACTGTAGAATTTGAAGCCACATCTAGCACCTAAAATCATGAGAAAAATTCCGTTTACTCTCTCTCTCTCTCAATCTCTCTCTCTCTCTCTTCTCTCTCTCTCTCTCTCTCTCTCTCTCTCTCTCTCTCTCTCTCTCTCTCTCACACACACACACACACACACACACACACGAAAAACAAGTCAACAGAAAAAGAGGTGAAGTTATGACTGCCTATTCACAAATAGAGAAGTAAAAATGGCCAGTGATACTGCTCCGTTCAGCCTCACTTATAAGTTAAAGACATGCAAATCAAAACACTGGGGTATCTTTTTTCACCTATGAAAGAAACAAACAAATTAAAGTTAGGAAATAGTCAATGCTGAAAAAGAAAAGGGAAACAGGCATTCCAAGACTTTATTGATGAGAGTCGAAATTGGTGAAACTTCTTTGGAGGACAATTTTACAATATATATCAAAACAGTAAGTGTCCATAACCTTTGACCAGCCCCAAAAGTATCAAAGCATTCAGCCAAAGCGGTCACCTATCTTCAGACTTAGAAATAAAGCCCTGTTTGTTTAAGTCTCTTGTAGTCTTAGACATATGCAAAATTATAATCAGATATTCTAGTTGCAACCAAATACATTCCTACTTGACAAGTTTTCTTTTAAAAAAAAGGTAAAAGAGGATATTCTTATCTCGCACTGACTTTAACATGAAGTTTTCTATTATTTCCCCATTAAGTATGATATTAGCTTTGGGACTGAGTTTCATCTTTTTCATCTTTCATTTTTATCATGCTGCAAAAGCATTTATTTATATTTGGATGCTGAATTTTATCTAATGGCTTTTCTGCATCTATGGTGATGATCATTCAATTTTTCTTTTTTGATCTACTCATGATATATTTTTTTCATGTGCTGATGGGAATCTGGGTTAATATTTTAGTAAGGATTTCTAAAACAGTTTTTATAAATGGGATTAGTATGTTACTTTTATTTTCCCCCTTTTAATGAGTTATTGTTATTGGAATTTTGAATAATATGTTATTACTTCCTTAATGAAAAAAAATTCTAACCACTGAGGTTTTTTTAATATAAATGCCTACACTTATTTCTATATACTGCATTTCTACTTTTTCAAATTTGCCTATTCTTTTTTCACAGTTACATTCTATCATTTTGACTCTGTAATTATTTTGAACGTAACTATTTTATAGTCTCTTTCAAATTGTTCTATTGTCCCAAGTTCTTTCCTCCTGTTATTGATCCAGTCTCTCATGAGGTTCATTTCCTAGTTTGGTTTATTATTTCTTTTTTTTTTAGGACAATTTTCTTTAACTATTTCTCTGAGGAAGGGAATACCACACTTCTACTCAATCAGAGGTCTTCTTTTTTTTTTTTTTTTTACACCTATCATGCCACAAATTTATAGGGAATGTGTTCTCATAGCTCATGATCTTTTCCATTGGTTCTCCCAAAGTGTGCTTCTCTAGGTGGAGCAGACTGGCACTTGAGTTGAATCCAGGTAACTTTCTCGTTGGTTTCCTTCTTTTTTGCATAATTTTGTTTCTCACATTTCAAGAAGCTGTCTCAGCTCTTATTACTGCTTAATATGCTCAATATGTACATAATTCTCTTGGCAAGAATCTTGTCCTTAACTTCTTTGTTCACAACAATGCTAACCACATGCTGGATAACTGTAGACCCTTCCAGTTTTGCCATGGTAACATTGGTGGTGCATCCCTTTTTGAAAAGTGCCCATTCCCTTGATGTCTACAACATTATCTTTCTTATAGATTCTAATGTATGTCGCCAAAGGAACAATTTCATGTTTTCTAAAAGGCCTAAAGAACATATAGCAGGTGCCTCTCCTCTTTCTCTTTTTTGGTGAATTACTGGAAGATGGTGGTTCCAGCTGAAAGGTGGTTTATAATTTCTAATTATAAACTTATCTTCGATGGGACTTCTTAATTCTGTGAAGGGTCAAAATGAACAACTGGGTTTTGCATTTGCTTCTGACAGGCCAAGGGGATTCGTCACCTTGGAACCAGCTTTTACATTCTTTGTTGACTTTAGGATTCCCTCACCACATGGGCAGTATAAATTGGGACCTCATAGCAATGCATGGCATAGTCAGGCTAGAGGTTTTAGTTCCTATAGCAAACATTTTTAATTCATCCAGAGCCTCAGAAAAACCACAAACTTCCTTGCTGTGGCCCTGGACCAGTGGGAATATTTGCTTTCTCCATCCTCCAGTCACTAAGAGCTTTTCCAGTGTCCAAGCTTTAAGCAGGGGTCTGAAGTCCAGCTCGCCACCTTTCTAGAACCCAAAGCCAAGTGTGCACTCACCTCTGTCCTTTGCCATTTGGGCTTATATTCATGTCAAGTACCCCCATATGCCTTAGAGTTCCCTCTTTCTGTCTCATACCTAGAGAAGCCTCCTTTCAATTGTTGATTTTTTTTTTTCAGCATTTCTGTGTTTGAATGCAAGGTTACCTGACTTCTTGCCCTCTCATGTTCCCAGAAGTTGAATCCTTTGTCCTTTTCTGTTTTTTAAAAACCCTTTCTAGAGTAAGCGCAAGGTGCTATGGAAACCACATCCTGGGGCGGGGGGAGGGAGGGTAGGGGGTTGGGAGGTCTCACCTAGGTGTGGATGTTTAAGGAAGACTTCCTGGAAGAGAAAGCCCCTAATCTGAGACATGAAGACTGAGAACACATTAGCCAAGCAAAAAAAAAAATATATATATATACATATATATGTATGTGTGTGTATTGAGGGTGACAGGAAGGTTGGAGAAAGAGGTGGGGCGAAGGTTGCAGGCAGAAGGCAGAGCACATGTGAATAGCCAAGGAGCAAAAATGAATGCATATCATATTCTGAGGAGCAAAGGTTCCAAGAACTGCAAGGAGTTGGTGTGGAACATGGACTGAGATGTGAGGTTGGTGAGATAAGTAGAGGCCAGCTCATGAATGGCCCATGTGCCAGGTTAGGACAGTGGACCTTATGCTGAGAGCAGAGGGAAGCCAATGAAGGTGACCATTAGGTCAAAGAGAGTGAAATCATTAGATTTAAGAGAAAAAAAAATCTTACAAACGTTTGTTACATAAATAAATATATGCAGCCAGTTAGAAATTGTTGAAACAATTATGCACGCAGGATGAAAAACCCAGAGGGCATCCAAGTACTAACCTTGGCATTCCAGAAAATTCCCTGAACTCTTATCCCAAGGATTACAAAAAAGGGAAGTGGTGCTCAGTCCTCTGTCCCCACCTTCCAGGAATTTCTCTCGCCTGCTTTGGGTTTGAGAGCCCTACTCATCCAACTTGCAGACATTTTGTAAATACATAGCTCTTTCAAGAATGTTTCCTCACATGGCCCCATTCCCCAACCCTCCTCCCCGCCAGCTCCCAAAACTCGGCGGTAACGGTGCCTGATGTAAGGAAGGAGCTGTGAGCGGCAGCAGAAGCTCGAAGGTTGAAAACAAGAGTAACTCCGGACAAAGGCCAAGGGGTCTATTTTTAGAACTTTTCCTCATCGCCTGTTTATCTTTCAGACTCTAGCCCAAAGTCTTCCATAACACGTTAACGTTATTATTCTGACTTGAGGAGCAATGGTGATAACCATTTGGACAGTGTGTTCTTAGAATTTCCCCCCCGAAGTGCCCTCACTGGCATTTGACTCTCTCAAAGCAACTTAATGTAGTTAAGCCCTTTCCGGCCACTTTTACTGGCTGTGGAATCTGGGCAGGTCACAAAGAGAAGGTGGTAGGTTAAGAATTTCATAACCTGTGAAGTACGACCCAGATGGTGCTGCCTCCCTCCTGGCCTCAATTTCCTCCCTCTATAATAGAGGGTCTAACTAACATCACAACTGTAAACAGGCGTTGGAAACTAAAGCGCCCTCTACAGATAAAAGCATTTAAGTCATCATTTTCCTTTGTGCCTCGTTACTCCGGGAGAAAAGGCAAGGATGCATTCATTTACTATAAAATCTGAATTGTTTTAATCCATTCAAGTTGCAAAAGAGAAAAAGAGACGGCGTTGTGTCTTGATTTCTATTTCTTGCCAGGGGACAAAAGAGGTGGCCCCAGGAATCCGCGGCTTGTAAAACGCGCCGCGGAAAACGCACGGTCGGCGAGCTGTGACTTAACCCCCTCCATTCCGCCGGCCTGGACCGACTTTTAAGGGCGTCCTCCCCGACTTCCTGTTCAGGAGCCCCAATTTACTCCAGTGGCCGGATCCCAATTCTCCCTGTCTTCGTCCCGTTCTGCTGTCCCCTCTGGAGTTCCTGGGGCGGTCAATGGGCAGCCCTCCGCGGCGGACTCTGGGTCCGGTCCCCCTAACTCGCACAGTCCTCCTTAAGGAGCTTCACCCGCGGAGAGTAGAGGCGGGTGTTTTGTTCTTATAAGGAGGAAAAGTTTCTGTGACATCCAGGAAATGAGTAACTCCGAAGCTCTTTAGAGCCGGGCTGATGGAGACCAGAAGGCGGGAGCTGGCTGCGGTGTCGCCGCCCCCGACTCACTAATTGCCCCTCCGCCGCCGCCGCCCCCCAACGGTGCGTGCGGCCCGGGGACCCGCGAGTGCAGCTTGAGTCCGCGCAGAACTCCCCGCGACCGGGATCGAGAGCGGAGGCTAAACGTAAGTCTGGGCCAGCAGCCGCGAGGCTCTGCGTCCTCCTCGTGGGCTGGAGGGAGAGCGCGGTGGAGACGCGAGACGAGGCGGAGCTGCGCCCGAGATGGCGTCTTGGGGCGGGGGCGCAGGGGCTGCAAGGGGATCCCGGGCGCCGGCTGGGCCCCGCAGGTTAGGGCTGGCCCTCGAGACCCCGTTACAGCGCTCGTAGCAAGATGCGGCGCATCGCCGTCGGGCGTTCACGCTTCCTCCTTGAGCCGCGCGAAGTCCCGCGTTCCACTCTCCGCTCAGGCCCCCGCCGCGGGCAGCTCCTCCTGGAGGCGCCCGAAGCAAGACCACGTCTTTGTTCCTGCTGCCCCGATGATCCATTCCTTTAACCGGCTGAGCAGGGCGCTAGGGCAGAAAGGCCGGCCGAGGGGTGGCAGCCCTTTAGCTACCTTCCTTCCCGCCTTCTTTCTTCTGCTGGAAGTGGGGAATAGGAGGGGATCTTGTTTATTCTCGGCTTAAGGTAGTGAAGCTATGAGGTTGCTGGGGCCGGGTAAAGTCCCGCCGCTTCCACTTTCGGGACTATTAGTGGAGGAGACCCCACGCTATGCAGAACTTTCTCTTGGGGTTGCAAATAGTCTCTGCCATCTGACCCTAACTCCTTCCCCAACTAACTCCTTTCCCAGTGTCTCCACCTCTCTGACTGCCCGCCCCAGGGACCCAGAAGCCCCAAGGCAGAGCTTTCCTTCCAAAATGTTCCTTACCTTAAAAAAAAAAAATGCTGTTGCCCAGGAAGGGAAATATTTTACTGAACTTCTCAGGAACTAAACTTTGCCTTTTGCTCCTCCACTTGGTGTGAGAAAGGGTCCCCTTCAAAACTAGAAGAGCACCAGATACTGGCGGATCCTGGCCCTGGTCTTTTGGATCTAAATTCGTTTTGGAGTTGTATTCTGTTTTCTTGTTCCTCATTTGGATTTGACCCAGGGCCTTTCCCTTTTACATACCAGTTCTACCTAGGAGAGGCTGCAGCCAGGTAAAGCTAATCTGTGCGGGAGACAGTCACAGGTCCTGGTTAACCCCGGAGAAAGTGTCAGGCATAGGTAGGTAGAATTGCCATTCACCTTTTCGATAACTTAATAGGCTGTGTTTTTGAGTCCTCCTTCCAGCCTACATGCCTAAATGGCTTTCCTTGTTTGCTAATTCCGGGCGTCTGCTGCTGCTCCAGGCCATTCTGCCCTCTTATTTCTGGTGAAGTGGTTATACTGACTCTGCTCTCCTGGGTGGAGGGAAAGGCTTTTTGTTCAAGTGCCATCCTCTAACTCCAGAATTGTCAAAGGTGCAGCCATTTCAGTCTCTGGCTTTTAGGGGGCAAGGATCTGAACTTTTAACCTGCTGCCATCATCCCAGAACTTGTCACTTTACCAGCAGCGGTTGAAACAAAGAAGAGGGTATGTGGGTGAACTTTCATTTTAGGGCAAGTTCTCGGAGGAACTTCTTGCTAGAGGCTTCTGCCAAAATTGCTCACCTGAGAAGATATTGTCTGGGAGGAAGCCTGTTTTGTATTTTTCCCTGTCGGACCCACTGAGGTCAATAAAGAGAAAGACTGTGGGGGAGTTTGTCCAATGGAGAGGGTACACATCTCTGTGGGAGGCAGTGACCTGCACCTTGGCAGGAAGCCCATGAAAAGTAGAGTTGGGCCACGGAGGGCATGAGCCCTGTTCTCAATGCCTCTTCTTGCAGTGGACAGCACCGCCAAATGGGAATGTGTACAGGGGAGGGAGGCAGGATGGCGTGGAGGGCCTGTATCTGTAAAGTGTGTTTGTGAAGGAGAAGGGAATGAACTGGCAGTGTTTCCCCTAAGGATGAGAGGCCTCAGGGTACAGGGCTGTGGCCTTTAAGAATCTCAAGCATTGTCCCTTGAGGAAAGACTTGCTCTGTCTGGCCTCAGAGAGTCACTGGTTAGGAGAAGCAGGGAGATGGGTCTTACTTAGAGGTAAGAAGGAACTTGCCAGTAGCTAGAGCTCCTCCGTAGGTAGTGTGCTGCCCATCACTCAGCAGAGACAAGTGGCCATCAACAGTTATGAAGGAGAGGGCCCCTTCAGAGTCTAAGACTCTATGACTCAATGTTTGGGGCTGAGAGTACCCTCAGGAGGGATGAGGTAGTAGGGCAGCCTGCAGGGCTTTTGGAGAAGGCTTTAACCGAGAAGTATCCTGTGAGGGGCAAGTGCTAGGGTGCTGATGCGCAAGACCTTGTGTATGGCTGAGACCAGTCGGTCCCAGACCCCCCTCTAATCCAGTCTTGCTGGGAAGGAGGACATAGCCTATGAGAATGCAAAAAGCTGATAAGAATAACCTCCAGGGCTGCTGCTTCACCCTTTGAGTGACTTAGAATAAGGTGCTCCCTGTAGGCAAGAAGATGGCACCTTGTTGCCATTTAGAAAAAGAGGTCTCAGCTGAGTGGACACAGCCAAGGCGCATCATGGGGCAAGCAGCGTGTGAGCCAGATCCGTCCTCACAGCGCCCCCCGCCAGGTGTTCTAGAGCAGTGTGCCACCTGCACAACCGTACACAGCAGCCTTGATAACCAACAATTATTGAGGACTTACTATTTGCCAGCCTTTCTTTTTTTTCAAAACTACTTTGCCTATATTAACTCATTCAATCTTCACAGTAGTCCTATAAAGTAGGTGTTGTGACCCCCGTTTTATAGATAAGGAAACTAAGGCACAGCGAAGTGTTCGGGAGCCTAGAAGCTGAGTCCTAGTCACTGAACAGTCCCAGAGCAAGAAGCAGATTAAGCTTAAAAGGCTGGTTTGCTTGAGAGCTTGCATGGGAAGGAGGGAAGAGCAGCTGCCTTTTTCTTTGTCAAAAGAAGAAATACCCACTCTTAGCTCAGATGGAGGAAGGATAGAAAGCCCATCTGGCAGCAGAAGGCACGGAAAGAAAGAGGCAGGCAGACCCGGCCTGGAAGGCTGATGCGAGGCCTGGCCCAAGCATCAAATGACTTTCCTTCTCAGTAGCTGGGTGGTGTGAGGTGGCTAATCCAGTTTGGGGCTTGGCATGAGGGTGATGAGTAAGTGCCACCTGGGTGTGGTGCAGAGAGAAAAGGCCACAGCTATGCAGTCCCCTGACCTAGATAGAGAATGGAACAAAGTGGGGAGCATCTGAACGTAGTGTCCTGACACTTCCAACATCCCTGTCCAGTTCCTGTTCACCTGCAGCATCCTTCCCAAGCTCATTCAGGAAACCTGTCCCAAAACTCCCACTTCGCAGCTTCATCTTTATGATCACTTATTTTCCACATTATACATTTCAGCACTTAATTACCTGGAGCGAGCATTTTACTGCATGCATACATCCATACCCATAGACAGTATTTTAAACAAACTGGGCTTCTCAGCGAATGAGGAATTCACAATATCTTGATGTCCTCTGGGAAGGGCTGGCTGGTGCCCATGCAGGTGGAGTTTACCTGGATCATCTCACCTGTCCCGGGTCGGGCCCCCAGTTGTGCCCACTGGGAAATAATATCTCTACCATTTTCAGAGTGGTTTGAACTTGGGCCATTGTGTCACCTCAAGAAGTCTCCCCAAAGTAGGCATACAAATCAGAATTCTAGTTTATTAATTTGCAAGGAGACTTTGTGATAAAGACTGGATGATCCCTGTGTCCTCGGTAAGCCCCGTGGGAAACCAAAGATGAGAAGGCGGCTTGTGTTCAGCAAAGCTGGAGTCAGGGCAGGGTGGGGAAGCTGTGCAGTATGAGGGCAGTGATGTCCGTTAGCACAGGGCTCTGTTCGCCTCTGTGGCCCTCTCACCAATGGAGAAATACCTGCCAGGTAGACCAGTACTCTGTCAGCCTGGCTCTGTATACTTCCTTGGTCAGTGCCTCAAGGTCAGTGTTTACCTGGTAGGATTTCTCCCTTTCCTCTTTTGTAATTTAGTGACTTTTATTATAAAGAATTATAAGCTTTAGCCTCCAGCTACATGGAGTTGCATTCGCCAGAAGTTAAATAACTACTATAGAGTTTCAAGGTTGGAGGTTCAGGCCTCAGGGTTACATGCTATATGCAAATCAAGAGGATAGTCAGAAGGCCTGGATGGGTCAACAGGAAGCCAAGCACAGAGCAAAGAAATCTGGTTCCTAATTTAAATGACTGCTTGGGGAGGTAGCGGGGCCCGGACTAGCTACTTACTGCAGCCCTGTGTGAGAGCATGGGGGTCAGGCAGTCCTAAGGCAGTGCACGTTTGGCTCCCTCAGCCACCTGGCCTGCTCAGCTGGCCTCTCTGGACTTAAAGGGTTCCCCCTGGTCACTGTCCAGGCCCTCTCATGGCCCATCTTTAGTAAGCTGCAGTGTCCAAGTGGCCCAGGCCAAGAGGGGTGACCCACGTGGGCTTTCGAGGAGAGAAAACTTGGGTTGAGTCTTGGCTCCACTACCCAGTGGTTGGATATTCTCTTTATTAGGGTAAGTGCCTAGACTTTTCCAAGCCTCAAGTTCGGTCATCAGCAAAATGGTAATAACCCCTCATAGGGCTTGTATAGAAAGGACTGAGCCTAGTGCCTGGCACAGACCAGCAGTCTGGCTAGTATGAGCCCTTGAAGACAGTAGAGGTCAACTGAGAAACTACATTCTCTGCCAAACTGGGACCCTAGTTTCCCCATTAGTGCCACTGCTCCCTCCTCTGAGGTCTGGGCAAAGGGCAAGATTGCAGGGACCCAGACTGTCCCTGATGGTGAGAAGGAGATCATTGGTGCCCTTGCATGGGCTTTGTTAGAGCTGAGGGCAAAGCTGCTCATCCTGACCTTTGAGCCGACACTGGGAGAGGGAAAGTCAAGTTTGAAGCTTTGCCTGTCACAGGCATCCAAAGGGGAGAGAAGGGTGAAAAGGTTTCTGGGAGAGGAAGAGGGTGATTTGAGAGTGGCTGCGAGGTCTGTAGGCTCCTCCTCAGCAGTTTGGGACCTGTGATGTTTTCCGGGAGAAAGCACATCCCCCTCCATTCCTGTGGCCCACCCCATGACATCAGC